TAAAGCCGCATTGGTAATCGCCAATCATTTCCTCTGTATATGGCAGTAATCGTTTTAGTACAACTGAAGCTAATATCTTATATGTAGTACCGATTAGTGAGATTCCCCTGTAGTTGCCACATGTATCCTTTCTGCCTTTTTTATGCATTGGCACGATAATACAGCCACTCCATTCTTTTGGCATTATTTCTTGTTCCCAGGCTTCTTTCATTAATTGGTGTATTTTAGTTCTAAGTTCATGCCCTCCTTTTTTAATCAGTTCTGCATCAATATTGTCTAATCCCGGGAATTTGTCATTTTTTAGGGTTTCTATCGCCGAATAATTTCTTCCAGGCTTGGCGGGGGTACTTCTATCTCGGCCGTTTGGTACTCACATTTGCTTTATTACGAACATTTAGCAGGCTTTCAAAGTATTCAGCCCATTTTTCGATTATTTTATTTTCAGCTGTAATCATTTGCTCATTTTTGTCTCTCACAAAGTTCGGTGTTCTTATATATGCACCTTTCTTATGTTGTCTTACATCTTTGTAAAATTTTTTATTTTGCTTGCTTCTGTGTTCACGTTCTACTTTTTTAATTTGTTGTTGTAAATGTTGTCTCTTTTTCTCCTTACTGTTCTTCTGGCTAAGGCTCTCTCTATTGTATTGTTCACGCTTTTCATCCGTCGGGTTTGCTAGGTAGTCGATTCTTCTTTTGTTTGCTTCTTTTAAGGTATCCTCGCATTCTTCATCAAACCATTTTTTTCTTTTTGCTTTTCTCTTCCGACCTATACACTTCTCTGCTGTTTCTGTAATGATCGTTTTAATGGAGTGCCATTTCTGGTCTATATTTTCTCTTTCATTTTCTTTCGTTTCCAACACCTGGAATCTGTTTCTCAATTCTAGTTGGTATTGTCTCTTTCCCTCTTCTTCTTCCAATTTAGACACATTCCATCTTTCGATCTTCATCTGTTTGTCTGTTGTTTGTGTTGGGATTCTAGTTCTGAGCTTGGCCTTTACTAGGAAATGGTCTGTATCACTATCTGGTCCCCGTCTAGTTCTTACGTCTATTATACTACTGGGATGCCTCCCATCAATTAATACGTGATCAATTTGGTTCCTTGTTCTTCCATCATTTGATCTCCATGTTACCTTATATATGTTTTTCCTGGCAAATTGGGTGCTTTTGATAATCATGTTGCACCCTGCTGCAAACTCAATCAGCCTTGAACCAGTGTCATTGGTAATGTCATGTAGACTCTGATTTCCAGCTACCGGCCTTATGTGTTCTTCTTTGCCTATTATTGCGTTTAAGTCCCCTAATATTATTTTGATGTCATGTTTTGGGGCTTCCGTGTATAATCGGGTTAGGGAGTCATAGAATTCTTCCTTCTCTTCCTCTGCTGCTTCTTCGGTTGGTGCATACACTGAGAATATCGATAGATTGAACTTGCCCTTTATTCTTATGCTACAGACTCTATCATTAATTGCTTTGAAATCTAGTATAGTATGACGTTCCTTAGTACTTCTTCATTAGTTTTTCTTGCTGTCCAAGGTATCTTCAGCATTCGTCTATGAACCCACATTTTCAATGCTTCAATTTTATTCATGATTTTTTTTATCCAAGCATTTATGAAGATTTATTAAATTCTAATTGAAAAACCATTACGTTGAAAAATAGAAGAATTAATAAAAAACTTAAACAATAACAAATCTGGAGAAAAGACATTGCAGCAGAAATGTTAAGAGTGGGAGACCTCATGATTGCCTCAGTAATTTAATAAAGAAACATGGAGCCAGAAAAAAAAAATTCGTCGTAATAGAAAAATTCGGTGCCATGCAATTTCCACAAAAATAAACGATACGAGTTTGTGCTAAAAACTGCGCCTCTGGTAGTTGCTGGGTGAATTAAGTAGCTCTGTAACTATCTGTGCTGGTCCCAAGCCCAAATAAAGGAAGAGGGTTTGAGTCAGGAAGGACATCCGGCTGTAAAAACCTTGCTAAAACGACGGAAAGAAAGAATATGAAAAATAGTTTAGAGGCTAGGGTGTACTCCTGCGAAAAGTAAGCTAGGGCGACCCCTTAGACGATGGAAGGGGTCAAAGAAGCTAATCCTAAGTTCCAGCTCTTAACGTCGAAAGCATGAAAGGCAAAGGAAGAGAGCTGTCCGATTTCATGCAAAGGAGAAAGATTGGTGTACTTTGTGTGCAGGAAACTCGTTGGAAACGTAGTAAATCTAAAGATCTAAAATATAAATGCAAGTTAATATATAGTAGTTCGAACAGTTACGGCAGAAATGGAGTAGGTATTATTTTGAACAACTAATGCAAAAAACATCTTGTAAGGGTAACCAGAAGAAGTAATAGAATAATAAGTGCCAAACTGAATACAGGAAATACCAACGTAAACATTATATGTGCCTACGCCCTAGTAGGATATGAAGAACAGATAAAGGAAGTATTTTGAAAGGTCCTTGATTGCGAGATGCTCGAGATTCCTGTGGATGAAAAATATTTTATTGGAAGTGATTTGAATGGAAATACGTGCTTGGCGGAGGAAGGCGATGGATAGAGATGGCTGGAAGAGAATTCTTGGGGAGGCTAGGACCCACACAGAGTTGTAACACCAAAATGATGATGATGATTTGAATGGACATATTGGTACAGAAAAAGCGGGAATAGAAAAAGTTCATGGAGGTTTGGGGATGAAAATAAGAAATGATGAAGGAAACGATATGATTGACTTTGCAGTGGCATCGGAATTGGCTATCACTAATACGTTCTTTATGAAGACCAATATGTTACCCATGGTAGCGGGGGAAGGGAAAGTTAGATAGATTTTGTGCTGTGTAGAAAAAGTCAGTTAAAAGAGGTTACAAACTCTAAAGTAATGAAGGATGAGTGTATAGCTAGTCAACATCGACCGATAAAATAGAATACGGAGATAAATGTGAGGTAGAGAGGAAAGCAAGTAGGACACCAGAAAGTAATGTGGTGGAAGTTAAATGATAAGGATTTGGCAATAGTCTTTAACAGTAGAGTGCTGGAGGAGCTTGAGGGTTAGAGAGAAAGAAGCTAGAAAGAGGTATCACAGGTCTAAAAGAGAGAAAGATACGGATATATGCAAGGTGGCAAACAAGGAAAAAAAGGAAAGAAAGGGGAAGAGGGAAGAAAATAGTGCTGTAGCGACTGCTAAGGAAAGATCCTCTGCACAGCTGTATAAAGAGTTGCAAACACCCGAGGCGATGAAAGGGCTAGGCGGCATTGCTAAAGCAAAGTGACTTGACCGACGTGTGGCAGATTAAGAGTGCGGATAGAAGAGTGTTAAGAACCAATGTTGAAATAAAGCAAAGATGGTATGAGTACTTTAGTAAGTTGCTAAAGGAAGAACACCAGAGAAGAGACAGAGCATGCGGGATCCCAAATGAGAATGTAATACCAGGGTTATCGAGAGATAAAGTTGTCGAGGAGTTAAATAAGTTAAAGATATATGAGAGATGTATATATTTTCTTGAATAATATATTCAAGAAAATAGTGCGCAGTATATCAAAGAATAATTGTTTATGGTTTTATCCTCTAAAATATAAAAAAATATATCCTGTATCTAAGGGATTAAGTAGATTAAAAATTACTATAGTATTATCTGTCACCTTTCTAAACTATTTCAATAAGCAATTTAATTCAATTAAAATATCAATCATTTAAAAGACAATCAATCAATATATTTCAACAGTATTAATTTAAAAATTATTTTCATATCACCTTTGTATAAATATATATACTAGCTGACCCGGCGATCTTTGTACCGTCTTAGAAATAAAATAATATGTCTAAAAACTTAGCAGAAAAAACCTAAAAAATACTCAAATATATTATTTATAAAAAAAATTAAAACAATTTTCTGATAAACAATAAAATAATCAATATCGTTTCATCTTTTTTGGCGTTGCATAAATATACAACGATGACTGCTTTCCGACGCGCGATTAATTGTACCTGTGAAACATGGGAACTCTAAATTAATTTCAAAAACTTACAACGGTTGGTTTTGTGATTTGTTTAGTGTCATTATAAAAGCCAAACGCAAGAGAAATTGTAAATGTTTAAAATCAAATGGTATGTTCGTTGTAATCAACGGTACAACGGGATCAAGACATCCTTTCTTTATGCATCTTTACCAACTATGATAGTTGCCTCAATGATATTATTGTTTAGCTTTTTCACACTCAGTCTCGTTCCATGGCACAGTCAAGATTGATTAATGTTACGCATCATAATGACAACTGATCCTAATTTTAATTGTAAATTGTTAGGTTAAGTTAGATTAGATTACGTTAGATCTATTTAATTCCAGTGAATTCTAAAACTCGATATGACACGTACGACAGTTGATTAAGTCATCCTGATTTATAACTGTATCAACTAATTTAACCAAAAAAAATCCTGGAAGAAAATTTAGAATGATCGCATTCCTTTACTTTTTTGCCGCCACTATTGCTCGTCAAATTATGGTTTTTGAACTGGTGAGCTATTTCCGGAAACACACTCTGAATAAGCTCGGCACAGCAAATTAATAATTAATTCGTAATAAGGGGTTAATGATAAAAGGGTAAAAATTTTAAGTAAAGGGAGTTGTATTGTTTATTGCCACATCATAAAAAAAATAGTGAATCACCCTTATTACTTAGGGATATGAAAAATATAGTACAGACGATTCCCAAATCAAATCTACCGAATATGCATATAAAATTTCATCAAAATCGGTCAAACCGTTTCGGAGGAGTAGGTGACCAACACTATGACAAGACAATTTTATATTTGGTAGTTTTAGTCTCTGAAACTCGTCTGAAACGTCTGGACTGATTTTTATGATTTATATATATATATATATATATATATATATATATATATATATATATATATATATGTATATAATGTATATATGCATTATTACGAAATCATAGCTTATCATAATCAAACAGAAATACTTATGTATTATATAATAGTTTTAATTGATTTCAGGCTAGATATAATTATACGAAATCAATTGAGAAAATCCATTCGGAGCTTAAAAAGAAAAAATTAGAGGAAATAAAAAAACTAAAGGAGGAAGAGAAAAAAAGACAAAAAGAATTAGAAATATATCAAGGTAAAGTAATTTATTTTAATGTATTAATTAAATTACATAAAATAAAAAACTACAATATAAAAAACTTATGGTATCTGATTATTTTGTGACGATCTAACTTTATCATCACTTCAGTTTTTGTTTGCAAGTCATTAGCAATATACAGTGGACGGCTAAATTATGGAATATTATCATTATTTCGAGAACCGTTGAGTTTTGAGGGAAAACCCGAAACAGGTTGATTTTTGTTATAAAATATAAGATATATCTTATAACGTACATGGAGTAGGGATGACGTCAACGGTGTGGGTGTAGTGCATCGAGCAATAAGACAAAAGAGGGAATCTAATCCTTATGAAAAGGAGACCAAAAAAGTGGCCTCTGATGGCGGACATATCCGGAAATGCGAATGCGCCAAATTTAAATTTTCCGACACTTATCAACAGTAGCTATATAATATTTTTCAGAATGTGTCTTAGACGAGAAAGTTTTAATTAATTATTAATGATAAGAGTATAAAATGCGACACAATTGTTAAAAAACTTCAATATAAATAAGACTTCATGTGACATTTGAGACAAACAATAACATAACCCAACTAAATTTGATGTCAAACAAGGAGAGAGACTCTCTTTCCTTGTTTAATGTGGCCTCTAAAGATCGCACTTCCTGTCTAACAATATGTTTGCCCAAACTATCTTTACATTCCCTCTTTTGTCTTTTTGCTCGATGGTGTAGTGACATAACCGTTAATTTTTTTAAATAGAAATTGGTATAATGCGACATCTCATTTGAATGAAAATTTAATTCTCTATTTAACGACATTACATTTTTAACTAAAATATTATTTAAGTTTACAAAAACAATTTTTTTTTAATTTAAATTCAATTAAATTACAACTAATGATTTAATTCATAATGTACTTTAAATTAACCAAATTATGCATAACAATTATTTTAAATTAAATGTTCGAAATGCCATCCATCGATTTCTGTTATGCCTTTCTGAAGTAAATATTTAAAAAAGCAAAAATAAGTAAAAATAATAATGTTAATTCAAGCAAGTGATAGTGGCATAGTTATTATAATATTTATTGACGTAAATGTTTTGATTTTGTGAATTGTCATCAGTTTTAAATTGTAATTTTTACTTTTGAGTAGTAAATTACGGCTCAAGTAAATGAAACACAACGCATAGAAATATTAATTCTTAGCGGATGCGGAGATAAAAAAAGAACACAGAGCGATGTATACAATTTATTCAACGCAAAATATCCAGACAGACCCATCAGCCAATTAACAGTAAGTAAAATAGTCTGAAAATTTGGAGAAACTCGGCACGATAAACATATTCCAAACGCTAGGCGTCCTAAAATTAAAGACAATGTGAAACTTGATATTTTATTAAATTCACATGACACTCCTCACAGTACTTCAGCACAAATGGGTGAATATTGTGTGAAGCTTCCCAATGATCGGTAATACGTATTAAAAAAAAACCACATTGGATGACTGAGTCACACACGTAATATTCTCAGAAAGTAAATGTATGGGCAGCGATCATTAATGACAAAGTTATTGGCCTTTTTTCTTTGAAGACAATCTAACAGGAGAACATTATTTAACTTTTTTGAGAAATCAACTTATACCTGTCCTTGCTAACATGTATCCAAATGCCAATAATCCAAATTTACCTAGTGAAAATATCTGATGTCAACAAGATGGAGCTCCTTCGCATTACGCACGTGAAGTACGCAAAGTTTTAAATCATTGCTTTCCCAGGAGGTGGATCGAAAGACGATATTTTATAGAGTCACCAGCAAGGTCGCCAGATCTAATACCTCTAGACATTTTTCTGTGGGGTTACATAATATCAAAAGTTTATGTCAATAGACCTGAAAACTTACAGGAATTGAAAGACAGAATTAGGCATGAAATGGGTCTAATTACTCCAGAAGTTATCCGCAAAGTACTTGATGAATGTGTACGTAGATTCCCATATTGTCAACAAACCGATGAATGGCATTTCGAACATTTAATTTAAAATAATTATTATGCATAATTTGGTTACTTTAAAGTACATTATTATTAAATCATTAGGTGTAATTTAGTTGAATTTAAATTAAAAACAATTGTTTTTGTGCCCTTAAAAAATATTTTAGTTAAAAATATAATATTTATAAAGTTTATAACTAAAATTGACCTGTTTGGGATTTCCCTCAAAATTCGACGGTTCTCGAAATAATGATAATATTCCATAATTTAGCCGTTCACTGTATAACTGGAAATCTGGGATATGGTGTTTTAGGATATGTCCAATTATTCTAAAATATTTAGAGCCTCCTCCATTTTTTTTTGACACGTATAATATTATCTATTTTATTATTGTCTATTCTATTGATACTTTAACATTTTGTGGATATAATTATATTTCAACGGGCATGAAGTATCACTACTAAGAGTAGCGCATAATAGATTTTGTATCGCATTTTGATATAGTAATCTCAAAGAAGAAGAACGATATTTAACATACAAGGTGATTCAAAACGCTCACTTAAAAATTTCTCACTTTTCTTAAATAGATCACCTTATATTTAAGACGTTATTAAATTAAATTAATTAATTTAAGTCAAATTAACTCCTTCCTATAATCTAATTCTAATAGTTGTTGAAATATTTAGCTTTAAATGTTTGTATTATTATTTTGATTACTAATATATAGCGTGCCATAGAAATTCTAGTTGATAGTTCTCAATTCGCATAAATTATAATACAGATAAAGAATTTTTCATATAAAAATGAATGCACGTCATTCAAGATTTACGACGTCAGAACCCCACAGCGTTTCCAAAACATCACAATAGTTAATAAGTGGCGAATTTTTAAAATGTCAACTATTTAAGAATACAATACACTAGAAAAAAAGTAATATAAGTAATATAATACGCTATAGTTAATATTAGATTTTTAAAATAAAGAAAATAATCACATTTTCAAAATTTCTTTTTTCACTTTTCGATAATTTGGCAAAGGATTTAATCCATAATATTATAAAAGATCACATAAATATGTATAGTTTTAAATACATTTTAAAACCCAACTAGTGAGGCACTAAATAAATCATAAGAGAGAATTCAGTGTAATTAGATTAACCCTTTATAGGGCAAAACTTTTCTTCACAGTATTAATTAGGTCATTTTTCTGAATTAATGCTGCAGATAGAATCCAATGTATGTCATAAAAATGTTTAAAAAATTCCAAGCTTGACCAGAAAAAATCTGAGGGGGGTTTTATTTTAATCATTTATTTGTCATAAAGATACAAAAACATATTGTACGTAATTTAACATTATGAACTTTATATTGTGTGGAATGGTTCAAAACATGAAACACACGATGCCACATCACATTCTTTACAAATAAGTGTTGATCTGACAACTTTATTTTTTGTACTACAGTACCCACGCCGTCGTAGGTCTCCCTTCATGGGTAAATTTTTATCCGATTTTCGTACAGTATCTGTCGTGTTTACGGATCGTTTATTTTGTTTTTTCAATTTGTTTTGCAAACAATCACTTTTGGACCTGGTCTTTTTCTGGTGCAATAATCTTGTCTTAGCTCATTAGCTAAATTACTGCGAACCATCAAATGAGACATTGGTTTTGTATTCCTCTTGTTATAATCAATTTTATAACTTATGTAGGCGTTGACAATTGAGGCCTCAATTAGATAATAGCACAGTATCTTCGACCATCTCCTGGATTTCCAAGAAATATACGTGGATACGTACTGGTCAATATGATCCACTCCTCCCATGGTTTTATTATAATCGTATATGGGCATTGAGCATTAAATACATTCCTTTTCGCATTTTTATTGGTTCGTGATACAGTTGTGATGGATCATGGAAAGAACTTACAATAACAACAGATTTCTTTCCTCTATCCTTCCACTTACAAATAGAGAGTTCATTGCTTCTGGTATAATCGAACTGCTCGATTTTCAAGGCCTTGTCATTTTTAAGAAGATGTTTCGGATAATACTTTCTATTGATCCTAAATGTTCCACAGCTGAAAGTAGCGTTTGCCAGTAAGGTAGATAGCAAGTTAAACGATGAAAAATAATTATCAAAAACTATACAGTACCCTTTATTAAAAAATGATTTTAAAAGATGCAGTTATGTTCTTTCGCCTAATGTACCTTCTTCTTCTCCGCAGCTACGTCCTTCATATATATTGAAATCTAACATATATCCAGAGGCAGAACATGCTATTACACACACCTTGAAGCCTCTTTTGGTTGGCTTGATTGGTATATATTGCTTCAAACTTAATCTACCTTTGAAGCTCACCATACTTTCGTCTACTGCCAAATTGCGAGACGGTAAAAACGATTTTACAAATTTGTTAGAAAGATGAGAAAGTAATGGCCGTAATTTGTATAGTTTATTATACCGGGTGTTCCTTTTCTAGGCATTGCTTAATTATCATTCAAGTGTAAAAAGCGGAGAATTTTCAGAAATCTCTTTTGTCATTAAGTTTGCTATTTTGCTTACTCTGAAATTTTCATTCACAGACCAGTAAAGTCTGATACTAGGAAGTCGATGAATCCCCATTATAATTAGTATACCTATGAAAGCTTTGAGCTTAGTTACGTTTAAAGTCCTGTACCCTTCTTATAAGCATACTTATTCGATTCCTCGACAATTTTGTCTAATATAACATCGTCTAAAAACACATTCAAAAATTGAGAAGGTTTATCTAGATCGCAAATTGTTGAACCAAACGGTCGAGAGAAATTATATTGATTATAAGTAGTTAGAATGCATTTTGTGAGCTTCATTTAAACTCTCGGCTATAATGACAATATCATCTGTAAAGCGCAAGTGGCTTAAGTATTCACCATCAATATTTATTCCCCTTTTAGCCCAATCTAGTTTTTTAAAGGCATATTCCAGAGCTGCAGTGAATATTTCGGGGGAGATGGTGTCGCCCTGTCTAATTCCTCGCTCAATTCTATATTTATCGGTAAAATCATGGAGTTTAACAGATGCTGCTTCGTTGTTGTATATATGTTTTATCAAATTTGTATATCTATAGTGTACTCGGTTTTCTTCTAATGCTCCTAATACTGCCGGTAATTCCACGGTATCAAAAGCTTTCTTGAAGTCTATGAAAAGCAACGTGAGTGGTTTATTATATTCAACACATTTTTCAATTAATATTTTAAGTGCTTGTAGGTGGTCATTTGTTCCATAACCTTTCCTAAACCCAGCTTGCTCCTTAGACTGATAGAAATCTAATTTTCGTTCTAAACGTTTTGTGATGATCTTGGTAAACCATTTGTAGATATGTGACAACAGACTTATCGGTCTATAATTCTGTAGGTCTGATATATCTCCTTTTTTGTGTATTAGGATAGTAATTGCATTGTTCCATTTTGTAGGGACAATACCTTGGTTTAGACATAGGTTGAATAATTCAGTTACTACTTCCAGCAGTTTCTTTCCTCCTACTTTAACAGCTTCTATTACTATTTGGTCATCTCCCGGAGCCTTGTTGTTTTTCTTTTCCTTTAGAGTTCGTTTCACTTCTTCTATCGTTATGGTAGGCAGAAGTTCGGATCCTTGGTTCATTACTCTGCGTTCTCTAATTTGTGTTTTGTCTTCTTCTGTTAACTGGCTTTTGTATAATTCTTCATAGAAGCTTTTTGCTATCTCTACTATTCTCTCTCTATTTGTTGTTATATTACCTTCCTTGTCTTTTAGTTTAACAATTTCCTTTTTACCATCACAAAGCTTTCTTCTGAGTATTTTCATATTTCCATTTTGCTCAATCACATTTTGTATTTTCTCAGTATTATACTTCCTCTGATCTTTACGAATTGCTTTTGAGATATCTCTGTTCAGATTTCTGAGTTCTTATGAGTCGCCTTTCTGCTCTGATCTCTTGATTTTTCTTTCTTTAATGAGCTTTCTGGTGTTTTCGCTCAGTTTCTCTTCTTTTCCGACTGGTCTAGCACAGTACTGTTTTTGTGCAGTCATTAACGCTTCTGTGATTGCATTATTGACGGTTTCAACAACTGTCGAAAGAGGGTGGTTTAAGGCCCGATTTATAGCTTTCACATATTCTTTTGTGTTTTCTGGTGTACTCCATTTTTTCAATTCTCTTCTCTTTATTAATCTTGTTCTTTCATTTTTTAAGTTTAACTGTATTGTAGCTCTCACTGCTCGATGATCGCTACCGATGCCAAACTGATTTAATACTGTGACATCTTTGACATATCTTTTATGTGTTGTTATGAAGAAATCTATTTCATTTTTTACGTTTCCATCCACGTCTATGTAGCTTCTTTTGGAAAAAGCTATTTATCAAATATAACTGATGGTTATGAAGAAAATTTAATAGTGTCTGGCCTCTCTCATTTCGACCTTCTAATCCGTGTTTTCCTATTGCCGTCTCTGCATCATCAATTTGAGTTCCTACCTTGGCATTGAAATCCCCCATAAGAAAAGTAAAATGACATTTTGTTTCCGATAATGCTGTTGTTAAATCTTCATAGAAGTTTTCGATTTCTTCTTCTTCATGTGCTGATGTTGGAGCATAACGTTGTACAACTTTCATTTTGTACCTATTATTCAGTGAAATTATTATGTATATTACTCTCTCTGATATTTGCTTAATATCCAATATACTGTGTACATGTTTTTTATGGATGAGCAGACCAATGCCACCATTTGAGTTTTCCAGATTGCCATTTGTGTATAGCGTGTGACCTGATTTCAAGGTTAGAAGTTGTTCTTCACGCTTCCGTCTAATTTCGCAAAGTCCTATTATGTCCCATTGTATACTACTCGGCTCTTCTTCGAGTTCTAGGAGTTTATCGTCTGTTGATAGTGTTCTTGCATTGTATGTTAGTAGTTTAAATAGTCTGATGTGATTTCTATATGTGTGGAAGTTTTGATACGTCAATTTTCTGTCCCCCCCCCCAGAATCCTTGGGACTGACCAAGTTGTTCTCGGTGCAAGATTCTGAACGATTCGTTCTACTTGCCTGGGGTATTCTAGTTTTGAACCTTGACATTTCATTGAGGGTTTTTTGGCGATTAAAACACCACGCTTGCCAAAACGTGTTAGTGAGTTTGGTAATGGAATTACATTTCCTTAATTCCGGATGTTACAGTTATACCGCTGACACTCGGTCGTCAGAGCCTCGTTTGTGATAACAGGGTTCACCAACGTGAAGGTGAGGTTGACATTTGAGTAGGAGAGGCTGTTTGAGACGCATCACTACCCCCAGAACCCCTGGGGGTTCTGGGGGTAGTGATGCGTCTGTAAAAATGATGTGATGTAAAAATGATGGAAGAACTAAAACAGGCAATAGAACAAATAGGCCTGAACATAAACTTTGAAAAAACAAAATACATGACCAAATAAGTTCCAAGTGATGTTATGAGGGTAGATGGGAACGAAGTACATCAGGTCTTTAGCTATATCTATTTAGGGCATGAAATTAGAATAGGAAAAGACAATCAAACTTGTGAGATCCAGCGTCGCATAGGCTTGGGATGGGCAGCATTTGGCAAGATGCGAGATATTCTAAAAGGAACGCTACCGATTTGCTAGAAGAAAAAGGTTTACAACCAATGCATACTGCCAGTAGTAACATATGGTTCCGAAACAATAACTTTAACCAAACATTTTGCAAATAAATTGAGAGTAACCCAAAGAAAAATGAAAAGAGCAATGTTGGGAATAACTAGAAGAGATATGGTACCAAATAGGATAGTGAGAGAGAGGACTAAAGTGACAGATGTCATAGAAAAAATTGCACAAGCCAAATGGAGATGGGCTGGACATATAGCACGTTTAAATGATAATAGGTGGACCAAAAGACTCATAGAATAGAGACCTAGAGAAGACAAGAGACACCGAGGCAGACCACCAAAAAGATGAATGGACGACTTGAGAAAAACAGTCGGAAATTGGATACAGAAGGCGCAAGATAGAAAACAGTGGAAGAATATAAAGGAGACCTATATCCAACAGTGGATGCAAGAGGTTGAGGAATGATGATGAGTTAGAATGCATGCCTCTTTTCTAAAAACATAACGATCGTTGCATGAGACAGAATTCGTAATTTCTTATGATGGATTAGAATCTGTATCTGATTGTATAGAGTCAAGCAATAATTGGCCTCTTGGTAGTGGTTCTTCCAAGCTGTAGCTGAGGTCAACAATAGAATCGTCACTATCATAGGGTTCATATCAGAGCCAATGCCTTGATGGTAATCAAGTGAACGTGATAGCCTCTCAGGTTTTTCATTTGTGGAAATACATCTTGTGTATTGGGAGGTGTTTGGGCCAGGTTTTAAACAGCCACTGTTTATAGATGTAATAGAACAGAATGTAACCTTAGTATCTTCGGTGTTACTGTCTCCATCATAATCAGAGTCAAACGCTTGTTCGTCTGTAATTCCATCGATCAGTCCATAAACTTCATCGGAAGTTATATTTGTTACATCAAAAGCTTTTGGAAATACCATATTCTGTAAGTAAAATACAAATAATTGATGTGATATCGATCTTATTGTTTTTATCTAATATTCGAAGCAGATTTCTACCTTTCGTTGTAGTTGGACGTGATCCCCATGGAGTATTTTTGGCATTTCAATCGGCTTCTACAAGGAAGTGTGAGCCAAGGGTTTGAAAGAAGCTGGGAGGTGAATTAATAGATGCGACAATCAATAGCTCCGAGAACGTTTTTATTCTGATTGAATTGCTCTGAATTTTAGGTGTGGAATAACTTTGTAAAAGGTTATTTTTAACAGATGATCTGACTATAATTGCCGATCCTGCCTGGGCCGTTCCATCGGGATGGTGGGTAAAATATGTTATGTAAAATGGAATTTTGACAACTGTTCTATCAGTTAAATGACTCTTTGAAACTGTGTACAAAGATGGATATTTTTAAATAATTAAGTAGGATAGATAGCTTATAGTATATATTTCAAAATTGTTGCCGGGCTACTTTACCAATTTTCCTGATTTCCACTGTCTGATTTTCTTTTTTTTTACCATGTAATTTAACCCAATTGTACCTAATTTTACATTAATATATTTTTCAGGAAAATATACACGATTATTCTGGAAAGTATGGCACAATACATTTGGTCATTTAGGAGAAGACTGGGTCTTCTTAGCATTTCTAGGAATTATTGTAGCTGTTATAAGTTACACAGTAGATAAGGCAGTATGGTTATGTAATAATGGTATGTAAAAAAAAATCTTTATTATACAGTGGGTGATCAATTTAATATGATCACTGCAAAAAACTTTGTATTTTGGTGTTTAATAAAAAATAAAACTGCATATAAGCATCTAATGTATGAGACTAATATGAAAAAAGATCAGGAACTGGGTATTTTACAAAATTTAAACATTTTTGTTCTTTGGCCTTAAATTACAATTTTTTTTTAATATTTCGTGTGACCTCCCTTAGCTTCAAATACAGCTTTGATCCTTCTTGGCATGCTTTGAATGTTTTTCAGGCAGTCTTCTTTTATTTTATTGTCTCTGTGCCAGGTGGCAATGAGTCTCTCAATTCTCTCTCTTCAATCCTGACCCCCCAGGGGGAGTGTAGTGGTCGACGTGATGTCGTGTATTGTCCGTCTCCAGAGATCTCTGTCTCTGGTCATTTCTTTTAATTCATGCATAGGTCTTTGGCATATTCCTGTAATTTGATCTATCCATCTTGTTGGGGATCTTCCTCGTGATCTTCGGCCTTCTACCTTTCCTTGTATTATGAGTCTTTCCATGTTTTCTGTGTTTGCTCTCATAACATGCCCAAAATATTTTAATTGTTGGAGATGGACTTTACTAGAGAGTCGTTGGCTAACTTTTAGCTCTCTTAAAATTGAATTATTTGTTCTGCGGTCGGTCCAAGGAATTCGTAACATTCGTCTCCAACAGAACATTTCAGTGGCGTCTATCTTTCTTCTCTCCGATCTTTATCTTTATCTTGAAATTTGACAGTCCTTCCATATTTTGGTCATTTTTGCTGTGGCAACTTTTGCTAGATCAGATCTACGTTTAATCTCTTCTTGTAATGACCCTGTGTTTGTGAATAATGATCCCAGATATAAGTATGAGCTCATAACCTCAACTAATGAGTCTCTCAATTAACTGTGCCCGTATTCTTGAATTTCAGGGAGTAGAAATTGCAAGAGAAACTGACGTAAAAGTAGGCGTGGCTCCCTAAAACCGAAAATGCTGTATTCTTGAAAAAAACTCTCCTAAAGTGTGAGAGAAATGTCACTCCCTAAGGGAATAACAATTTCTACTGATAGTAGCTAAGAGAAATTGTAAATGGGAGCGAAAACAACAATACATAACCTTTCAAAAACCTAGGGAAGTATTTTGTTTTTTAAAAAGCGGAAGTTAATAAAAGATGGATATCAATCATATGTTCTACTGGAATTATATTATATTTATTGATGTTTTGGAGGCAGTTGAAGATCTTCAAATTGGCCGGGATGTCCTCCAATCAACGGACCCATTTCTTTTGTCAGATAGTAGCAGTTAAGATTAAACTGCTCCAAAAAATCACTGCTTTTTGTCACCGTGACAATATTGGAGGAGTCACGTTTTGTCACAGCTACACAAAAATCGCAGGTTGGCCCACCACTAAGGGGAGTGATCAGGTTGACGGTTGACAGTATCTTGTCCTTTGTCAATAATTAACTTTTGTGATTGGTTAAAATTTTCATTGAAAACCCGGCAACACTGTTCAGAGTTTCTCGCATTCCTTTCTACTCACCGTATTCAAGAATACAGCTTTTTAAAATCGAGAGAAATTATGATGGAGTAGAAAAGCGAGTTAGCTTAGTGGGGAGTAAAATTTTCTCTCGATTCAAGAATAAGGCCCCTGCTGCTTATTTGTGACAACTTCTTGGACAATCCCCCTTTTCATGAGCCATCAGAGATTTTCAATCAGGTTGGGGAATTACCTGGCCCTTTCCGTACTTTAATTTTCTATTTTCCATCTACGATGTTACTGTTTTTTCTTTATGACACAGTGCTGAATCGTGCATAAAGCTAAAATTGTCACTTATGTTGGTTCATTATTCCCTTTACAATGTACAGCTTCCTTGTGCCCTTGCTACTGATTATAGACCATAGAGTTCCTGTTTATTCTTTATAAGTACATTTTCCTACTAGTTTTATGTATTTTTTACTTTATATGCTCTGAGGGGGAGATTAACCCCCAAAACCCCTTGGGTGCGCCACAGTCACATAGCAGTACCTACTTTCTTTCGGTTATTTCCTGTTTCGTCGATCACTAATCTCACTTTATCAAAAAATTATTCTTTTGTTTGGACTGATTGGTCATCTGGGAGGCATATATATTTATAAATACAAGTCTTCTTCCCAGAACGTTCATGTGCATTTTCATTATTTGTTAATTTTTTGTTTCGGGTATCCTCTGTAGATACATATCTATTTTATATTAGTATATTATTATATCCTACCTCTTCTTTAGCATTTTTTTTAATTTTGTTTCAATCCTTCGTACGTTCCAAATTATGCAATTTATCCCTGTTCGTCGCTGTTTCCGTCCATATTCCGAGAATGTTTAGTCCTTTTAAAAAAAAACTTCCGTCCAAAAGAAGAGAAAGAAATAAAAATCAATTATTTACTAATCAAAGAAAGACCTGTAGGACGCCCGTGGAACCGAAATTTTATTTCGGAATATACACGAAATAAAGAGACTGGAATAAAGAAAAAGACGATAATACGTTTCTGTAAAATTAAATATTACATCTAAAAATATTACAAAAAGAAAAAAAAAATAATTTGTTGCCGTCCATGTAAATCAATCGTTTTTCTTGAATCTGCTTTGATTTCACAATGATTCAGAATTCACACTGAATTAGTGCTTTGTTTTTAGCATTCTAAGCAAATATTTCTAAAACAATATCTGTGTTTACATAAAATATTCACGGTAGCGTCAGGTAATACTAATTATATCGTCAAATATACATTTCGCATACGTAATAAGCAACGTTTCTATGAATTGCGTGCAATTAAGAGATTATCGGCCAATAATAATAAATAGTATAATAAATATACCGGTCCAGTATCCGTCATAATTTTTGATTGTAGTAATTACTATGCGTAATCATTTAGACCATATAAATAATAAACCAGTGACGTAGCTATAATTATTGTAGGATACCTCCGAAACTTACGTTAAAGGGGCTTCTGTTATTATATTTCTGTTTTTTTTTCGGAGTACACGCCCAATCAGTACTATGTGGTAGTAGTATGAAGTGAGTAAGACCAAGTCATCATCATCATATAACGGGGGTCCTACGGCGATTGCCGCTTCCCGCATTTCAGCCTCCATCTTTTTCTATCTCCCCAATATCCCTCTTCTAAGCCTCTAGATTGCATTGTTTTTGTAATTTCTCTTCTCCAGGAATTTGGTGGTCTTCCCCTTTTCCTTCTTTCTGGCGGAACATACATTAAGGCTTTCTTTGACCACCGCTCCTCCTCCATTCTCATCACGTGACCATACCATTGTAATTGCCTTCCTTGTATTCTATCTGAAAGAGTATCTCTAATTCCTGTACGGTTTCGTATTTCCTCATTCCTGATTCTTTCCATTCTCGATACTCGACATGACCTTCTAAGATAATCCATTTCCACAACGTCTACTTTATCTCGTTCATTCTTTGTCATCGTCAAACATTCGGCACCATATGTGGTAATTGGTTCTACAATTGCTCTGTATACGCGAAGTTTGGTATGCATCTTTATTTTATTAGACCACAGTAATGAATTCAGTATTCGGATGCATTTTTTCCCTTGGGTTATTCGGTTTTGTACATCTATCTTAACTCTGCCATCTGCTGATATGATGCTTCCTAGATATTTATACTGGTTGCAGCCTTTTATGACTGCGTTTTCAAGCCTCAGATCTGTGGTATTTCCTCCAATTTTTAAATATTCTGTTTTGCTTATGTTTACAGTAAGCCCCCATTTGGCATATTCTTCAAATAATTTTCGATTCATATAATTTATATCTTCCTCATCGGTTGCAACCACCACCTGATCATCTGCAAACAACAATGTATACAGAGTTTCTTGTCCCACTTCGATGCCCATAAATCTACATTTATTTCTCCAATTCCTCAATGCTTCTTGGACGTATATTTTAAAGAGTGTCGGTGACAAACAGCATCCTTGCTTTAGGCCTTTAGTGACTTTAAATTCATTTGAGGTTCTGGTTCCAATTTTTACACAACTAACTGCATTTTCGTACAATTTATATATCGCTCGGATATACGTCGAATCCAATCCGGACCTTTTGAGGACCTCAAACATTTTCTTTAACGGGACACTATCATATGCTTTCTCAAGGTCTATAAATACCAAATGGGTCTCTCTACTTCTTTCGACACGCTTTTCAATTATTTGTCATAGGATAAATATATTATCAAGGCAGGATCTCCCGGTACGAAAGCCGCTTTGTTCTTCAATATCTTGTATCTGTCTTTCAACCCTCTTCTTTAATATTCTGCCGTACAACCGGCCCACAGAGCTCGTCACACTAATACCTCTATAATTGGAACAGTCTCTTTTATTCCCTCTCTTATATATGGAGCTTATATAAGATTTATTCCAATCTTTAGGAATTTCCTGGTCTCCACACATACATTTATTGAAAAGGTCTACTATTAATTCTAAAAGTGCAGTCGGCCCATATTTAACCAGCTCTATTGGAATGTCTCCAGGCCCTGCGGCTTTTCCGTTTTTAACCTCTTTTAAGGTTTCCGTCAATTCAGATAATGTTATTATAGGGATTTCCTGTCTTTCGTCTCTGTTGTCTATTAATTCCCTTATCTTTTCCCATCTGTACTCTACTCTATCCTCTTTCAGCAGTTTCGTATAATATTCTTCCCATTCATTTAACTTTATGAGAGAAATGTTGTCTTCATTTTTCTCATTTTTCCTAAACTGTTTTAATGTTTTCCAAGCTTGCGCCACTTTTGTTCCACCCATAAATCTGATCACCCAAGTAGTAAGACAAGTCACTAACCTCTATCTCTTTTACTGCTCATCCATAAGTATATCCGATACACCAGCATATTCTATACTAAGTAGCAGATCCATTTTAGATTTGAACTAATGCATTAGCCTTTTTGTTTATCAGCCAGCGTTTAAACTATTTATCCAATAGATCATTCACAGTGAAGTAAACAAAAGAAAAACAAAAAGAAAACAGCCGTCTGCCAATAATTAGTTTTGTAAATCACGAAAGTAGAAACCCGAAGATTTTTATTGACGAAACCAAAATCCAGATTTTGGCTTTAATCTGTGCCTTCTAAGAATTGCAAGGCAAAACAGACGTTGCTGAAGATGTAAGGAGAGAAATGGGGAATCTAAAATTGCATTCCACAACATATCTCCTCAACTAAGCAAAAATCCTTGGCGAATTGGTTTCTTGTACTCATAAAGAGTATATCGAAATAAAAGTAAAGACAGTTAAGATTTTATTTTACATCTATTATAGTGTCTCTGTATAGTCGTTTATACGTATTTCATCCTGAAAGGAATCATCGGAGCACCTCGTACAGAAGCTCTAATCGTAAAAACAAATATTTTTTGTCAAAAGAAGCTCTGTAAATAGAAGAACTTCTGTAAATTGTCGCTACGATGATTCCTTTTAGAATGAAAAACATAATATACAGAGTAGGGGAACCTGGCCTAAAATGATATACTACTTTTTTGTCGTCCAATAACTTTTTTATTTTTTTAATAAAAATTAAAAAAATCATAAATGTTGTTCATTGTTTGAAAGTAGAACAGATCATGGAACATAAAACTCTAACAACACAATATTTTTTAATTAAAAAAAGGAAACAAAATAAACTATGTCATTTTATCCAAGTATATTTGGCTAAAACGACACACTCATATGGATAAAATGTCATATAAACTAAATTATCAAAGTTCACAAATAAATTTTTTGCACGATTTTTAGATACCAGCACAATCACAGTGTGCCCATTTTGAGCATTTTTGACACCTAATCCAGAATTCTTTGGACCTTGAATGAGAGTACAAACTGTTACAATATAAACATGGAGGATTCTTTTCATCTTCGTCATCATCTGACACAATGGTCTTTGTTTCCTCCTCGCGATCTTGTGTCATTAAAGTCAGATTCTTAATTGCTTACTTTGCAGCTTGACGATTTTCTGTAGCTCGCTTCTCGAGTGCTTTGCCTTTTTGTTCTTTCATATTTGGGGTAGCCGTTAGAACTTTTGTTCCTTCTGATTTTTTTTTTTATTTTTTGAGCGTGACTGGACACCTGAACACGATGGAAGAGGTGAAATGTCAAGTGGACGAATACCAGGATTAATTGAAGAACAACTTTCAAGTGAATTTGGTCTAGGTGTAGAAACCGATTTGTTTCCTTGATCTGGAAAATCTTGATGTCGCAAAACATTATAATTCTCTTCTTTGGAATCTGTTAGGGGTTGAATTGCAACTTCTTCTTGAATATCTGTTATTTTGGAAGGATTAAATAAATAATCAGGAAATATGTCGGGATTAAGGGGCCAAATTCCAGTCTTTAAAAAGCCACTAACGGCATTTTGGTGTGTAGCTGCTTTTCCATACGCTGTAGCAAATAATCCTCCAACTTGGCATTGCGAAACTGTTCTGCCTGGATGACACTCCATCCACTTGGTAACTTCTTGATCATAGTAGCTCTTTAATGGACCAAAGAAACATACATCTAACGACTGTAGACGATGGGTACAGTACGTCGGAAAACACAATATCACTATTCCATGTTCTTTGGCAAAAGTTAAAACATTAATGTTTTTATGGCTCGCATGCCCATCAAGCAACAGCATAACCTTGTCTTCTATAGAAGGATTAGAATATTCTTTAAAATGTTTCATCCATGTTAGGAACACTTCGCCTGTCATCCATCCTGTTTCCTGTGCTATTCCTAAAGTTCCTAAAGGCGCTTCATCTATTAATTCTTTTTTCCAATTTTTCCTGGGGAATGTAAGTGTTGGTGGAACATAATTTCCCACTGAGCTAATGCAAACAATCATCGTTATGTGCTGCCCTCTTTCCGCACTTGTAATTAGGCCCACTTGCTTCCGACCCTTGGTTGCAAATATTTTGCCGGGTTTTTAAACCGTGGATAGGCCTGATTCATCCACATTCCATATGCGTGTAGGATTAATTTTGTTATTTGTAATAGTATCCTCTAAGAGTGTAAAAAAATTGGCAATTTGCGGCCTGTTGAATGATTGCGCTCTTGCTGTAGACGTGGACTCGGGTTTTCTAAGGGATATATCGGGGTGTCTAGACCGAAACCCTCGTAACCAATCCCAACCAGCCATCTTAGTGGTTGTGTTAAATCGGTGTACTATTCCATTTCGATCTGCTAACTGGTAGGCTAAAGAACGAACGTCATCACAAGATAATCCAAACAAACTTGATTCTAGGAGTTTTATGTGTGTTACGAGGTCTCTTTCTAATTCTACAGATAACGTAGTTTCGTACCGTCCAAGACCTTTATTAGTACCTGATACCCGTTTATTCTTGTCTGATGCTCGTCTTCTTAAAGTAGCTTGGGGTACATTAAAAGTTATCGATGCTTTTAACCAGCCCATGTTTCCACACTGTACTGCCTGGATGGCTCTTTGCATTTGTACTAGATCCCAAGACTGGCGTGTACTTTTCCTTTCGTAGTGTCCCACCATACTAAAAAAGAAAAATACCATACATTAATATTCTACCTACCATATTATTATTAAAATTTATATGGGCAAAATGACATACTATGTCATTTTACCCGAGTATTTAATATGTCGTTTTACCCAAGTGTGAACAAGAACACGTTTTTTACAATAAATTTTTTGTTTAAACAAACAAAGCTTTCAAACATGATGTTTCTGTTAATATGAATAACAATACATACCTGGAACTAACAGAGATATAAAATTTTAAAGTTTTAAACGTTTTATAGCGAAGTATAAGTCGCCTACCAAAATATTTTGGTACTCAATAAAGCACAAACCACCTTTTAACAAGTAAACGACTAAACTGATCGCGACTAGGGGTGCTCGATATGCATGGATGGATGCATCGAAAACATCGATATTTACCATGCGATGCATCGAATCAATCCGATACATCGAATAAAGTAGATGTTTTACGATATATCGATGTATTTTATTCGATGCATCGACCATCCAATAGCGTGGCATAGTCATTCCAATCATTAAAATGATCTATTTTATTAATTATAAACATGTCGGCAAGTAATGAAAATCGATTGAAATCATCAATTAGAAAAAAAATTAGATATCATTTTTATAGAAAGTAAAAAATCTCTGACAGAAAAGTAATGATGCCTAACTTCTCAATTGTTGATCATCCAAAGAGTACAAACACCATTTTAAATTGCGGCTGCGCATGCGCTCGTCACATGATAAAAGACCCATATTGATGTTTTTATCAATGCATCGAAAACATCGATGTTTCAATTCGATGCATCGAAAAACATCGATGCAAGCATTCCGATTGATGCATCGCAAAAAACATCGATGTATATTTTAAATGAACACCCCTAATCGCGACGCCCGTTGGAACATCAATGATGCACCACGTGATGCTCTTGTACAAAAATTCTTAGCGCATAGCCATGTTGCCAAGTTAGAGATACACCGGATGTGTCATTTTACCCTAGTATGTCATTTTGGGCCAGGTTCCCCTATACAGAGGCACTATACGTGAAATCAAATCTTAACAGTCTTTCCTTTTAATTAGTTTTGTATTTATATCCTTAGATAAATAATCATATTTACCTGTAACTATCAGTAATTGTAAAAACATCTTCTGAAACGTCGACTTATAATTTTATCAATTAAATTTGAATTAAATAAAAAGGAAATAAAATTGAATAAAATAAATATTTTTAAATACTGTTTTGTATTTTAGGTCAAAAATGGCTTTACGCAGACGTAGCAACAGGAATGTTTGCAAAATGGGTTGCATGGGTAGCTTTGCCGTTCTGTTTAATTATATGGAATGTAGGATTAACCCATTTAGTTGCTCCTCAGGCTGCAGGTATGTTCGGTTTAAAAAACTAAAAGAAGTAAATTTAATTTAATTTTTATTTACTGAGATGTTACTAATATATAAAAGGTACTATCCGTAGCCCATATGTGCGCGTATCTATCTGTGGTCAAAGATGTGGATTCAATCCAGAAATTCTCCAGATTCGAGAAGAAAAACAAAAGGATTGATTGAGGTCTTCACTCGGAAGACAAAGGCAAACCATAGAGTAGTAAATCAGTACAAATGCAGGAATTGAATTGTTTGGAAACGACAATAACACTTAATTATACATGACGCATATATGTAGAGGAACAATCTATACCCAAAATAGAATTTGTCGCATGTGATCTGCGATTTATAAAATGGACAATATTGTGATAGGCAGCTCTTTTATACAGCAGACTCATACTCATACACTAGATAATTGTATTCTAGATAATATGTACAAAATTTAAACTTTAATCTTAGCGATGATATCGACGGCAAAGAGTGAGCGGTTAGTGACTAATTAACACTTAGCCACGGAGCAGATCTGTCTCAAATCAACACTCTTAGACTGGTAAGTAGCTACCATAAGATCAATACTCTAGCAGAATCTGTTGGCCTTCAGTCAATACCCTACGACCGGTGGAGTTGTTTCCAGATCGACACTCTGAGAAAACTCTGGACTTCTGGCCTTCAGTCAACGTCCAAAGGCCCGGTGGAGTTCTATTCAGATTATCACTCAATTGTCGGCCTTCCATCTCATCTAGCGCGTATCAATGGAAGTGGAACTCAGCGATGGGAGTATGTATACACGAAGCGTTGGTAGTAAGGTAGGAAGCTGGCGATGCACATCGTTACTATATGGACACAGTAAACAAATAAATGTAAATCTATTAAGTTTTCACTATGATCAGAAAGAGAGATCCACTTGCTAGAAACAGCTACGAACGAGTAGACTCAATCAGAATTAATTAAAGACCACAAGTTTCTTAGAAGAATTGTTTACGCATCTAAAATTAGATATTACATATTCCGGAATGACAAAATAATTTTAATTTTGAACTTTCTGTTTAAGGTTCTGGTATACCACAAATCAAAACCAGTCTTCGAGGTGTATTCATGAAAGAAGTTTTAACCTTCAGGACACTACTCGTAAAATGGTTAGGGACAATGGCTTCGATAGGTAGTGGTCTACCGCTGGGAAAGGAAGGACCTCTTATTCACATGTCAAGCATCATTGTAACGAAACTCAGCAAAGTGATGTCTAATTTTAATTCAATATATATCAACGAAAGTAAGAAAATTGAAATGTTGGGAGCTGCCTGGGCTGTAGGGGTTGCATGTACATTTAATGCACCGATTGGGGGTAAGTATTATATATTTAACTGTCAATTCGAGTCGAAACAACAAAATTATTTTATTTTCCGAATACAGTGATACCTACCTGATTAAGTGCAATATCAATAGGCCTAGAATTGTTAATCACTTTTTTTCATCAAGTTTTTCATTTACACATTTTAAGTGTTATTGACTTAATAATTAATTTTTTAATTAAATACGTGCGGATTAGCGGTATTTATCATTTTAAAACTCGTAAAACGAACTTTTACGAAACGAAAAAAATAGTTTTTTGTATTAGATTTTGATACTTTCTAAACATTACTCAAAGCTCTTCTATGGTATAAGTCAATAGGATGGTTATTTTGGGATAACACAGATCCGATAGCTATATTAGAGGCATCTGTAGTTAACACAAAGGGCTTTTCGAAATCTGGATATTATAGAACAGAGTCAATGGTTAACAATTGTTTGCATTTTGCAAAACATTCTAAATAATTTTTATTTGTAAGGTCGATAATAACTCCACCTATATTCTTTTGTGACTAGAGTCATGATCATTTACTCTAACTAATTGTTTTCTATTCATCAAGTAAGATTGGAACCAATTCAAAGAAATACCTCGAATTCCGTAGAAATTTAGTTTTTTTAGAAAATATCATGATTAACACAATCAAAAGCTTTGGTATAGTCACAAAAAACAGTGGCAGTGTAAAGATTATTGTATAGTGCCTGATAGACCCCATGTAGTACAGGAAACAGCATCACTGGTATCTTTATTAAATAAAAAGCCGAACTGAAATTGAAAATACAGACAAGCCTATCTAAAAATCACTGAAATAATAGTCCACGTCCACAGAGGAAAAGTGTCACCAGAAGAACTGATCTTGATAGACGTCGTTATCAATATGAAAGTGTAATTTTTATTAGGCAAGAAACAGACATTCAATATACTGCTTTTACTTTGAAAAAATAATGTTGGAATTTTCAGTGTTAAGATTAAACAATATCAAATATGCGTTTCAAGAGCTAACTAAATTTAATAACCAAAAATATAATATTCTAGTGGGACATTTTAATTGCCACATCACTACGTGGGGTTATACCGAGACGGGCTGGAATGGGAAGATCTGAAGAAATGGTAAAAAACAAAATACTTTCTATTGAGGCCCAAAGTTACCTACCACATTTTTTAAATAGAGGAAGATGAGAACGCAGATATAACTCTTCTTCTTCTTCTTCATGCGACTAGGATTACTCCTGTTCGTCTGCCTCTTATTCTGTTTCAGTCGTTTATTCGTATCTAGTCCCATTCGGTTTACCTGTTCGTTCCAGTTTTTTTTCTTGTTTTTGTCCACTTGTTAATATTTTGAATTAAGCATTGTTTGCGTGTACTTCTGTTAGTTTGTCTGTATCTTAATAATATCTCCGCTATTGATCTTAATACTTTCATTTCGATATTGTTGATTTGTTGTTTCTTCTTTCTTGTATCGGTCCTTGTCTCCGCTGCATATGTTAGGATTGGTCTTACTGTTGTCTTGTATACTTTAGATATAACTCTGGCAATATATTTGTCGGCGCATTATTAGCGAAATTAACAATGTAGTTACATATCCGATTCCTAGAAGACAGCACAAGCCCATCGTTTGTAAGATAGTGGGTGTAATGCATAAAACGTAGTAAATGCTATTGCTTCAGCAAATAGTATCTAGTTTGTAGTATTTTCTTTTACATAAAAGGAGGTGCTTTGTTGAAAAGACCGTACTACACAACCGAAGTACTTGCTACTGACCTGAAGGATCTGCTACTAAACGTAGCGCCAGCCGTAGTGCGCATCACAACAATCGTATTAGAACTAGTTTTTCATATGGTTTTTTATAATTATGCTTGTGTCTTGTGAATAATTATTATTAGAATAAGTGAGTAGTGCGAAAAATGAGTGGTTCAGATTCCGAAGCGACAAAAGAGTTAGGTCAGGACAAAAATGAACAAGTATTGTTTGTTAATCTTCTTGAAAATTATCAAATTTTATTTGATAAAAGAATGATCCCAAAAATTAAACATGAAAAGGAAGCTGCATTGAATCAATTAACTGCTGCCTTTAATGAAATTATCGAAAAAAACCTGGATTCAAAACAAATTTTGAAGCAATTCAACAACATGAAAACAAAGGTTAAAAAAATTGTTGACATAAAGAAAACTGGAAACAAAAGAATCGTACTAACTGACTGGCAAAGAAAATTCTACGAGTTATGGAACATTGGAGAAAATCCAGTCTTGCACAGGGTATCAGGTGCTTGTCAGGCTGGTGTAACAGAGGAGATTGGGGTTTCATAAAAGAAACAAAATGATGAAAACGTTATTTTTAGCTCCAATTCTGGTTGCCAAAAACTAACAGGCAGAGCTCCCAAATATATAATGCGAAGGAGGAGTCGCTGATTGAACTACAAAAAACCTGCTTACGAAAACAAGTTGAAGCAGCCGAAGCTCAAATTTCTTGTGCTGGAGCTCAACAGTCTTCGGTAGAAGCTCAGGAACGAGCCGCAAATACATTGATAAAGTTTGCTGAAGCAGGTGAGCAATTAATCAACCATATAGTTCAACGTGATATGGTACAGTGACAAAATTTGTACATAGATATGTATTTTTCTAAAAACAAAGTTATAAACTAAATATTAAATAAATATGTTAATATGTTGTATTTTGTTTAATATTAATAGAATAAAAATCAAAATATTTTTTACGAATTTTTATTAGACCCTCTACATATGGTAATAATATATGTGTTAGTTGGCATTACGAAATAGAGCCTCCGCAACCTCATTTCTACGTTGTGTGCCTCGATTTCGAATTTGTGCTTGATTGCCTTCAGGTATCTCTTCATTTGCATCTTGCACTATAATTTGAACTGGATCAAAATCATGGTACGGATCCTGCAAATGTTTAGATATGTTGTGAAGTACAAATGCACTTACAATATGTTTTGAAATGTTTGTAGTTTTTAGGCGAATAATATACTGTAACATTGGAAAACGCCTTTTCAACTGACCAAAACAGCGCTCGATGACACAACGTTCCTTCGCATGAATTGTATTATAATTTTGTTGAATAGGTGTGGTTGGATTTTTAAAAGGTGTCATTAACCATGGTGCAATACCATATCCTTCATCACCTATCAAGGCTGCTCCTTGCACATTATTATACATAATTCGATGCACTACGGAGTTTCGCCAAATTCTACTATCGTGTACGGAGCCTGGCCAACTCGCATCGACACTGGTAAACATTTCTTGGGCGTTACAAGTAGCTTGTACATTAATGGAATATACTCCTTTTCTATTCACGTATTCTTCACCATGGATACGAGGCTTTGTTATTTTAACGTGGGTACAATCAATAGCACCTGTAACATTGGGCATTTGCTTATTGGTATTTGCCCACTGATTAATAGCAAGTTCAAATAACTCGTTAGTATTAGGAAATGTTATCCAGTTATTTCTCTTTAAGTAAATTGCTTCTGAAACACTGATTAAGGTTCTGGATACAGTACTCTGGTTAACATTTAAATCAACAGCAACTCCCTGCTGGTATCCAGAATCTCCTGAAAAGGTTATATATATATATATATATATATATATATATATGTATATATATATATATATTTCAAAGTTTACAACTTATTTCCAAAACTAACCTAAACTTCTCAAAAATATCTCCATTTTCTGAGTAGGTGACAAGGCTCCACCTCTTGTTTCTACGGAATCGTCATCGTCAAGAAAATGACTAGCAAGCCACTCGACATTTTCTCTGTTGAATCTAAAGCAAAAAATGTGAATGTAAATTTTTATAAAGATTTTATATTATTACCTAAATAGATATACCTACATATGCAGTAAGCGGAAATAAGGCTTACCCCCCCTACTTTCCTACTTTCCCATTAAAAAAAATCAAAGTTATGACTGTCACCTGAAGAAGGATTGCTTAAAGTTCGAAACACATTGATTCTATAATATACTATGATTATTTTAAAAATCGACCTGTCCGAACGTTTTGTTAACTAAAAATATACTAAAAATAAATGAGTTAATATGGGGGGTAACACTTATTCCAGCGCACTGTATGAATAAAACGGCACTATTCATGATAATTACCTGAATATTTTAAGATAAACATCGTCATTGTATATTCTTCCTCGTTTGTAGATTTTTCTACGACGAACATTCATAAATGCTGCCATTTTTTAACAAAAAACACCTACGCCGAAGTCGTTCATCCAGCAACTTCACCTAAACTGAAGTAAATTCTACTAAACTAGTAAATACTTCGAAAGAGTAGTACATCCTTCTATGTATCTGGTAAATAGTAGCAAATACTACGGATGAAAGCAAAATGCTTTGTAAGTGTAGCAAGTACTACAAAAATGTAGAATTACTTGAAGCATTAGCAGATACTACGTTTTATGCATTTCACCTAGTGTCTGCAGTAAGAGTTCTTTTTAAGAGAGTATTTATTTTCGAAAAGGCAAAGTGATCGATTTCTCCAAAGAATTGGATCAAGAAATTATCAAACTTAAACTAAAACTAATAACAGAAAATTAAAAAATTTTTGTTGAATTCGTTAAAATAGAATACAGGAAACATATTCCAAGAAGTTGCCGGAGGGAATATGTAGCAAATCTTGATGGCGAATCGAAAGCCTTGTCCAGAAAAATTAGGATACGTATAATAGAGATCCATTCTCCAATTGAACCTTTAAGCTTGTCGAAAGACTTATGTATAAGTTACAAAGGAAAAATATAAAAAAAACACTCAAAACTAATTATTAAAAAAGTCTAAATTTTCAGTAATATAGACATATCATTGCAAATAGGTCGGTCCTCAACTTAAATACTGATAATAAAAGTCTGATATCTTTAAATTCCACTCTAACAGGTTTCGCTGTATTTTATTAACATGAAAATTTTATATAAATAAAAACATATTATAACTACTAATATAAGAGTTAAATTTTTAGGAGTACTCTTCAGTGTCGAAATTACCACTGCCTATTATGCAGTTAGAAATTATTGGAGAGGATTTTTTGCAGCTGTTTGGGGCGCAACAACCTATAGGCTCTTACTTGTTTGGATTGATGGTGCAAAAACGATTACTGCCGTATTTCCTACAAATTATTATTTCGAAACTCCTTACGACTCTTTAGAACTTTTACCATTTGCCATTTTGGGGTAATACATAAAAAAGCAGAGTTGTTGTGAAAACTAAAATACCTTTGTTTTTAGCTTAATTTGTGGATTTTCGGGTGCTTTATACATTTGGTGCAAACAACACTTCGATACCTTCGTAAATTCTAATAAAATTATTATGAAAGTGAAAAGCTTTAAGTAAGTAAATATAAATCATTTAAATGTCTTAACGAAAAAACATGTAATTTGTGACTATTGTAGCTTTATCTAGCCAGATCTTCTGATTAAAAAAATGTAAGGTTTTGCGGGACACCTCACGCCCAGTTTCACAGAAATTAAATTTTCTGTCGAAAATTGAGACTTTAACATGAATAGAACTTCCACTTCCTTTAAATGTCGGCAGTAGATTCAACTTACAATTCGTCTCGTCGTCTTTTATCTCTAGTGTAATTGATCGAATTTCCCTGTCTGCTATCTCCCTTTCCTCTATCTTCTTTTCAATCTCTTTTATCTTTTCTACAAAAGAAGAAATATCGGCATGACTTTTCACTGAAAATATTTTATTGTCAAGAAAAGAAATCTCAAAATTGACTTTATTTTCTAAAAAAACAGTATCCGTAGAAACTTTGAAAATATCAGAAGAAACTTTGCTTCGCAAAGAAGAAATATCGTTAAGCTTGATTTTCCAAAGAATCAATTTTCATAGAAACTTGTAAAGATCACCAGAAACTTTATTTTCCAGCGATGTAATTGACGAAATTACAGCATCATGCTTGTCCTGAAACACATACATTTCTGGATCAAGACCCTCTTCTATCAGGGCGTCTTTCAGCCGTTGTACTAATTTAGCCTTTTACTTAACAAAATAAAATTCTCTATCTTTTAATTCTCGTCGCAAATCTGTCACATTTAAATTACTAAAGTTTCGTTGCTTTTTCACACAATTTATTGAAATATCCCGCTTCTAACATCAGTGTAAGGTTTATTTTAATTTATTTAAAGGTTTCTAACGCCAACACTACAAACACAATTAATTTTATGACATTAATTTTCTTAAACCTACAAATTTACATTTTAGGCTAACTTCTTTAAATTGTAATTCCTCTTATATATAGTATGCCTGTCTTTCATACAGTCTTTTCAGTTGAATTCTCTAGACAGCTGCAGATCTCGAATGCCTATCTGATCGATCAGGAGCTTAGCAAGGAATGACGTAACAATATATTAAATACGTCAAATTACACAAAGCAAACTTGTATTTTTCTAAATGCTTTCGAACCAGACTGTACGTTGGCATACGCAAACTCGTAGGCGTAAAGTTTTTTATTGCGTTTTCGGAGATATTGCAACCTGCTGTTGTATGTTCGTACCAAGTGTTTGGATGCTTAAGGTTGTTTGTTTTTTGAATAGTTAAACTTGTATACTAATTAATCCATAATTGTTTCTGTCTCTAAGAGTACAATATATCATGCCTGTATTTCTACACCCGTTCTTTTTCTAATTTCTCGCCATGGTCCTTCAAACAAACCATGTACTCGTATGCATCTAATATTTTACATAGCCTGGGCAAATTCGTACTGCATGAACGTGTATATTTTTCTTGTGGAGAAAGTATCCCAAACTCAAATACGTACAAAAAATAATTATAAAAAGGATATTACTTATATTATAAACCTAACATAACACAAGCACACATTTTTTGGCAAACAAAAACGATTATTTTCGATTAATCATACACCTTTAATTGTCTGTTATTAAACTCTACGATGTAATAGTGGTACATAATAGTTCAGACTGCTTCAAACATCAGAAAATTTATATACATGGTAACATAAATATGGCCACTGTCTAAATGTGTCAACTTTAAGAGACCTCCCCGCCTTTCCCATTGATTTGGTTATCTCATATATATTTTTGAGAGTTAAGTCATCATATTCAACTAATAAACTCATAATTATAACGAGTTGATTAAGGATCATAGACAATGTTATCTCTAATATGACGATTAATTAGAATACAGATGTAATATTTAGTATAAATTTTAATTTTTAGCCGGTTCATATATCCAGCCATAGTGGTACTTTTTATTTCCTCCTTGACGTTTCCTCCAGGACTAGGTCAGTTTATGGCTGCAGATCTAGGAGGAGGACCACAAGTCATCTCTCTGTTTAGTAATTTTTCTTGGACTAAGGAAAATTTAACTTTACCTCAGCAGGACGTAGTAGCACACTGGACAACAGATTGGACTAGCGTATATGAAAATTTGGTCATATATATGTTCTATGAAATAATAGGTTCGATTATAGCCAATTCGCTACCTATACCTACTGGAGCGTTTATTCCAAACTTTAGAGCTGGTGCTGCTCTAGGCAGAATCTTGGGAGAATTAATGCATAGTTGGTTTCCTACAGGTAGGTGGATGTTTATTTTTTGCTTTTAAAACAAACTGTAGCTAACTGTAATATATATATATATATATATATATATATATATATATATATATATATATATCATCATTCCTCAACCTCTTGCATCCACTGTTGGATATAGGTCTCCTCCATGTTCTTCCACTGTTCTCTATCTTGCGCCTCCTGTATCCAATTTCCGACTGTTTTTCTCAAGTCGTCTATCCATCTTTTTGGTGGTCTGCCTCGGTGTCTTTTGTCTTCTCTAGGTCTCCATTCTATGAGTCTTTTGGTCTACCTATTATCATTTAAACGTGCTATATGTCCAGCTCATCTCCATTTGGCTTGTGCAATTGTTTCTATGACATCTGTCACTTTAGTCCTCTCTCTCACTATCCTATTTGGTACCATATCTATTCTAGTTATTCCCAACATTGCTCTTTCCATTTTTCTTTGGGTTACTCTCAATTTATTTGCAGAATGTTTGGTTAAAATTATTGTTTCGGAACCATATGTTATTACTGGCAGTATGCATTGGTTGTAAACATTTTTCTTCAAGCAAATCGGTAGCGTTCCTTTTAGAATATCTCGCATCTTGCCAAATGCTGCCCATCCCAAGCCTATGCGACGCTGGATCTCACAAGTTTGATTGTCTTTTCCTATTCTAATTTCATGCCCATATAGATATAGCTAAAGACCTGATGTACTTCGTTCTCATCTACCCTCATAACATCACTTGGAACTAAATTGGTCATGTATTTTGTTTTTTCAAAGTTTATGTTCAGGCCTATTTGTTCTATTGCCTGTTTTAGTTCTTCCATCATTTTGTGAGCTTCATTTAAACTCTCAGCTATAATGACAATATCATCTGCAAAGCGCAAGTGGCTTAAGTATTCACCATCATAATTTATTCCCCTTTTAACCCAATCTAGTTTTTTAAAGGCATATTGCAGAGCTGCAGTGAATATTTGGGGGGAGATGGTGTCGCCCTGTCTAATTCCTCGCTCAATTCTATATTTATCGGTAAAGTCATGAAGTTTAACAGATGCTGTTGCGTTGTTGTATATAATATGTTTTATTAAATTTGTATATCTATAGTCTACTCGGCTTTGTTCTAATGCTCCTAATACTGCCGGTAACAAACCGTTTTGTATATTAATAAAAACAAAAATAACTGGAGTAAAAAAACGTTTGGTGTTTATTGTACATAAGTAGCTACAAACAAGTGCATACTTTACATTTTACGTTCAAAATGTAAATCACCCTCACCATTTTTGGCAACGTTTATACACAGTGAAACAAGTATTTCGATAGAATTCCAAGTTGGCAAGAAGAACTTCAAATTCTTCTGCAATTCTGTCTTTTAAGTGCTACATATCCCGTATTAAGATGGCAAAAACTTTATCTTTAAGTACTTCCCACAAGGCAAAATCACAGGGCGTCAAATCAGGCGAACGCGCGGGCCATTCGATTGTGCCTCTGTTCCCTATCCAATCACTGAACTGGTCATTTAGAAACTCACGAACTTGCAATCCGTAATGTCGACAACATCGAATATCTTGTAACTGTGGATTATTTTTAAGTTCTCCCTTTAAATCGATGAGAAGTTCCAGGTAATTTTCAGAATTTTGAACGAGAAGACCACCGCATAAATTAAAGTCCATTGTTTTGCCAGGAAAATTTAACTCTTCTGTGATGGTTACATGATGATTATCAGATGGCTAATACACACAATATTGTGACGATTAATTCGTCCGACAAATTATTGTAGATTGTGGAACTTTATTTTTTCACAATGTATATCGTTTCTCTATTTATACCTTACATTGGTCATTAAACCATTTTTTACACTCATTATTTGTCTTTCTATTACTGTTTCTCTAGTAGCTAATTTATTTTTTTATTGCAGCTGTTTTTCTAGTTTAAGTACTTTTTAATCTGTTGACTAAGTGTAAAACAATGGCAGTACCATAAAACAGATATAAAATGCATTCTGTCTCGAAAGTATAAGTACATAAGCGCATATATTACTCGTTTTTAGTTGAAATAAAGAACTTGATAATTTTAATGGAAATACTAATATGGTTCTTCTTTTACAGGTATTGGTTATAGAGCTAGAATCGTACCAGGAGCATACGCAGCAGTTGGCGCAGCAGCATTTTCTGGAGCTGTTACTCATACAATGTCTGTATGTGTAATCCTGTTTGAAATGACATCTTCTATCACATATCTTATCCCCACACTAATTGCCGTTCTTATAGCAAACGGGGTAGCCAGGTTATTAGCTCCAAGTATATACGATTTAGTTATTAGATCCAAGAAACTGCCTTACCTACCTGATCTGTTACCAAACACTAGCAGTAAGTATTCAGTATTCATTTACAAAAACGCCTGTATTGCATATTTCCGAAATAGTGGGGAACATATATTCTCTTCTAGTTCATTTGCGCGCTAAGTAATTATAAATCAGTCAATTGCAAACAGTAAATTTGTGCCATTTTTTTTACAATAACGGAGATAGTTTTCTGTCTCTCTCTAGTCGTTCCCTCATCAATGAGTATCCTGATTTCCTAGTATATGAGCATCTCTTTTCTATAGCCTTCTATCGTGATCTAGGCTACTCTCATGGACTCAGAGAATGTCTTGACACTGGCTTTCTGCAATTACCCATCGAGTGGGTGAGCGACGTCTTTTCTGCGACCTGCAATGTTTCCCAAAGTATAAGTCTCTTACAATTATAATTACTTGTTCTTACATTATGTTCGAAGAACTTTAAGACTCCTGCGAGACAAACAGAGAAAAGCCGAGTCTAAATATTATGTTCTTGGAAGATTGTGTGATTTGTTTTGCGCTTTCTCCATAAGATCCGAAACATTCTTCTCCAGCACTACATCTCGAAGTGTTTTTCTCATTATATATTCCCCATATCAGTTAAAGAGACTTAAAGATAAAATATATCTTTAGTGCACTCCCCTATTGACTTTAAAAGGATTTGATTACGGTTTCAATTCTTATTATTGTTTCATTATTTACCTATTCGTCCAGTCATCGGAGAGTTGACCCCTAAAAATGATACGAACAAGCCGAATTTTGCCGAGAATATTAATTTTGGGACCCCAAAAAAGATACAATAAAGGTTACCACTTTTACCCCCGGGCTTCCCTCTAAAGCCTCTCTTGTAGAGGAGTAAAAACCAAAAAAAAAAACGATTTACTAAGAATCTGCACGCCACAGAAAAAAATGTTTCAAATAAAAAATATAGTTGAGATAATTGTAAACAAAAATGTTTATTAGCCCTTTTTGTGTAGAATGTAGCACTTTTTGTGCAAAATGAACCATTCTCTCAGAAACAACGCTTGAAGCAAACGTCGATTTTAAATGTCAGTTACGTGCGCAAAATCAATTTTCAATAAAATTAGTGTCAGCTCGATGGTAAAAATTCGATATCTTTTGATCCAAGTGTCCTATGGACAAAAATCTTGATGCGTTTTAAAGATTTTGAATAAAGCTTTAGTATGCAGTTTCCGTATTTTGCCGAGAATAAACTCAGTTTTAAGAAGGGTGTTAAATAAATAAACGTGGCACGTATTTTGCCACTTTTTACAATTCTCGTGAAATCAATAAAATTGATCACTTTCACTAACCATTCGTAGTAAAGTTTTAATTTTTTAAGATTAGTCTTTTAAACTTATGACATGAAATTTTAATTTTTGTGGCAACAAATATGAGGCATTTGAAAAATGAATAAAAAAACGCAGAAATGAATGTTTTATATTACAAACGATTACATGTCACGGGAAATGCCTCCAAGAAGACGGTTGTGGGTATAGTAGAAGTTAGGTTCTTTTGAAAAAGGTAATAGAATAATTGAAAAAATAAGTTTTAAACGTTTTGAATCGTTTTTTATGTGAAAGTTTAAATCCAGCGTTTTTAAGCACAAGTTTTTAAATGCCTCACATTTGTTGCCAAAACTCGTAACTAAATTCCATGCTATAGGTTTTAAAGATGAGGCTATAGTAATTGAAACTTTATAGTGGCCACTCAATGATAAGAATAGATTGAACTAATCTTATGAGAATAATAAAAAATGGCAAAAATCGCACCACGTTTACTTATTGAGCATCTTTATAAAATCTGAGTTTATTTGCGGCAAAATACAAACATTACATATATAATCTGAACTCTTTACCTCTTTAAAACGCATCTTGATTTTTTTGATAAGACACTTGAATTAAGAGATATCGAATTTTTATCGTCGAGCTGACACAAATTTTATTCAACGTTAATTTCGCGCGCGTAATTGACGTACAAAATCGATGGTCACATTATTTGTGAGAGAACAGTTAATTATACACAAAAAGTGCTAATAAGCATTTGTGTTTAAAATTATCTCAGCATTTTTAATCGAAACATTTTTTTTTCTGCGGCGTACAGATTCTTGATAATCGATTCTTTTGTGTTTTTACCCCCCTACGAGGGTCATTTTAGGAAGAAGCCACTGCGTAAAAGTTGTAAACTTTTTTGCATCTTTTTAAAGTCCCACAATTAATATTCTTGGCAAAATTCAGCTTGTTCGTATGATTTTTAGAAATTCAGTGGCATTTTCGTCTCTGACGACTGGAGTGTATAGTCTCTTGACCAAAGCTGACAGATAATCAGAGACTTCTATCTCACATTTTAGAATTTTCCACAATACTTTACATTCATCAGTTTACATAGTTAAATGCCTTCTGGTAATCTAGAAAGTAGATGATCATAGGAATTTTGAACTCTCGAGCTTTTGTATTGACCTATCGCATATTGAAAACTTGCTGCCTTGTACCCTTACCTTTGATAATGAAGACTGCTTATTCTTGTGCTATTTGTCTATCCAGGTATGTCTGCATACGACATTTGATGGTTCTCTATGTAATTTTAGTTAGATATAACAAAAGTGAGATGGTTCAGGAGTTACTTCATTGTATACTAGCTCCTATCTTATGTTTTGGAGTCAACAGCGCAGTGTATCAAGAACTGAGCTATTTGCCCATGCTACATACCTGATTACAATTTTCACATTCATTGTAGACCAGGTTTAACCATTTGCTATAAAAGCTCGGTTTTAATATCATCGGAACCAGGTGATTTATTTCTTTAAAGGTGTTTTATGGATTCATTAACATCAGATCTCATAATATTTGGTTTGTTGGTGTGATTTCTAGTGCTCTAAAATCATTAACTATTTTAATTTCAAACTGAATTCAATATAAAGTATTAAAAACGACTAGCAGCAAAACGATAAATACTCCTAACTATTTTATTAATGCAAAAAATTAGTTCGGTTCTTTCTTGCTATGAAAAGGCACTGCAGATAATTAAACGTTTTCATCAATCTCGGATTTTATAATTTCATTTGTAGATTGACGTTACCAAATGAGTAAGTCAGGTTCATAAAATTTTATAAAACTTTTATGATCATTTCTATTTCCTGGCAGATGTTAGAAATGTTTTCATCTTTTTCTTTCCGGCATCTTCGTTGAATTTCTCTGGACAAGGTTTTATAATCATTTAAATCATGATTGCCAATTTTAAGTTGTCTTATTTGTTTTATAATTTCTCTTGTTTGTTTATGATCCATCGTTTATAGCTACTACTTCTTGTTAATTGACATTGATTAGTTGTATGTAATATATTTTGTTTTAAGTCCTACAAAAGACAAAAAAAATATTTAGTTACTTAAAATTTAATTCCTCTTACAGGTATTTACGAGGTGTATGTTGAAGACTTTATGAAAACAGAAATCAAATACTTAAGCCTCTCTATGAACTATGGCCAAATGAAAGAGCTACTGGTAGCGCATAAAAAAATTGACGTTTTTCCCTTAGTAGATCATCCACAAACAATGACTTTACTCGGATCTATTACCAGGCAAGAGCTAATCGTGCTTCTCGATCAACGAGTTGGTACCGTACAAAGAAGGCAGTATTTGCCTACTCCTATGATCGACAGACATGAATCACCATTCGATAACGTCGAATTTATCCAGTCCATGCGGAAGCGTTCTGTACCTCATATCGATGATTCGAGCGATTCAGAAAAGGAAGATGATATAAGAGTTGAAGATAACATTACAACACATCCGGGAATGACCGAATTGAAGGAAATTAAAGTGAATAGTCTTGAGGTAAGGCAAAAATTGTAAAGAATTTATTTTAATGGCTTACTTACTTCTTCTTCATCGACTCATCATTATAATCACTAGCTCGACAATCCTTTTCTGGGTCCTGGCTTGTTCTAGGATTTTCCACCATTCTGTTTTGTTCCTTGCTTTGATTTTCCGGTTGGTAATGTTAAGTGTTTTCGGATCTTGTTTCACTTGTTCCATGTATCTAAGTTAGGGTCTTCTATTTGACCTTCTTCCTACTTGTGGGGGGTACTTTTTCTTCGACTGCTATCTCCATTATTAATAGCAAGTACTTTGACAAAACGTTTTTCTTCTGTTTAATATTTTTAATTAATTAATGGATGTAGTACTTTTCGTGACAGATGACAGATATCTTAGATATCCGAGGAAGGACTCTGATATGAGTTCTTCCTCGTTATTTATTTATTGTAGCACTTCGACATTCTTGCTCAAAGACGTGAAAAACTTTCAACCGATCGGTTGTACAACTAGTTTAGTTTATAAATTATTTATTGTAGCACTAACTCTTGCAAAAATAGTAATAGCTGGTTATTTTTGAACGATGTAATACCCAATAACAAAGTAAAAATATGATATACTGTCTTAACATCATAACTTCATAACTTTTTAAGAAGAGTATCAAAGAGAAGTTAACAGTGGCATCTATAGATTTTGAAAACACAAACAATGACGTTGTTGTGGTGACTGAATAGAAAAAAAACTATAAATTTACTAAATCTACAGCAAAAAATTCAAGTAAAAGTGCAAAAGCAGTAAGAGCTACCTTCTTCTAATTTATTTAAAAGAATTTTGTAAACTTTCTTTTTGTTTACTTTATTGGAATACTTAATAAATTTAACATTTCATAAACAAGCCTGCTCGCGATAAATTTCTATAAATTGCGTCCAAAAATGTCTATTATTGTCCAAGATTATTTTACTTACAGATTCTAGAAATTAGAGATGCAATTAGTGCGAAAGAAAGATTAACTGTTTATCATCATCATCATTCTGGCTGTCCAACCCTGCATGTATCCCTATATGTTCTTGTCCATCGCCTTCTTATTTTCTTTCCCATAGTATTAACTTATTATTCACAGCAAGACGTACTCGATTAAAATGGGCAAAAAATTTGGTCTTTTAAATAAAAATAAACTATTATTTATTATTTTCCAAATAATATCTTTGAAACCATTTTTATTTAGATTTTTTGGAATTAATCTAAAAAAGCTTAAACTATACTGCTTGAAAATAGCTATAATCAATGCAAAATTTTAAACCAAATAAAATTATTAGCTAATTAAATATTCAAACAAACCACCACCTTGTGCCAAACAGAAACCATATCTATAAGACAACGCCTTTTTCATGGCTTTGAGTACATCTGCTCATATATTTTGGCTACGTTCGATTATCTTTTGTCTCAGTTGCTCGCAGCTGACGGCTCGCTTGAATTGAAGTTTGTATAAATTATTTTTTAGCATCATCCAAAAATAAAATCTGGGAGAGCATCTTCAGGGGAATTTCGTCAATTGTTGGATGGCCCAAAATTGACGAAATGCCCCTGAAGATGCTCTAGGAAGCGAAAGTACTTGGGCAAGATTTAATTAATAAAACTGTGCTCGATATCTGCCTTTTATTTGATCAAAAAACTTAATTATGTTTTAAATGTTTAAAAGAAGATTTTTTTTAGGATACAAGAGACCAAATAATGAAAAAATGGGCACCAGTTAAGAAAACGATGACGTTACCTCCCCTTGCTCCAAAATCACCCGTTCCTGAAAGACGGACACCATTACCATTAAGACGGGGAGCTACATCGTTACTAAATTTAGAAGTGGTAGGTAAAATAAAAACTACGTTAAATATCTTTATTTAACTATTTAAATTTGAAATGCCATATATATTGCGAACCAGTACAATTCGTCAAACATTCTGTGTATGAATCGGCATCATTAGGATCTTATAACATTATATTCGCATATTTCCTGCTTCATCAGAGATCCGGGAAAGATACAAATTCATACACAGACGATCGACAAATGGTGATTGCTCGTTTCGCACAAGTTGTGGAAGCTACAAGAGGTGTCGCCTTCTGTGGTGACGATGACGAACGAATACTTACAAGACTTTAACAAAATCTGTTTCTATCCTTTTGAGCCATCCGAAGACTGTAAAGTTGTAATGGATGTGATGTTTGACGAATTGTACTACTGTTGCGCCATATTGGCCTTTCAACTCATCATAGCGATAGCAAAGCTTTTACTGAAGTGTAAACTTTGCATTCTTCGAATAGCTCAAAAGGATAGAAACAGATTTTGTTAAATCATGTTTCGTTTATCGTCACCACAATAGGTGGCACTTCTTGTAGCTTCCACGACTTGTGCGAAACAAGCAGTAACATTTACCGACCGTCTGTATATATAACGTTATAAGATCCTAATGATACCCATTCATACACAGAATGTTTAACGAATTGTACTGTTGCGCCTCTATGCTAGTTTAATATCATTTGTTGTATAGTTTTGTGAACACCATGAAATTCATCTTTAAACTAAGAAACTTTTAAAGGGTTTTAATATATATTCCTTATTTTTAGCCCGGTTTAAGGGTTTGTGACCTACCCGATCATGAACAGCACGCCTGGGAAGTTGATCAACTCAAACAACAAGTAGACTTTACAAATTGTCGCATTGATCCAGCTCCTTTCCAACTGGTCGAGAGGACCTCTTTATTGAAGGTCCATTCTCTCTTCTCCCTCTTAGCGATCAACTTCGCCTACGTAACGTCGATTGGAAAATTGGTAGGTGTGGTAGGTCTAAAGGAACTTAGATGTGCTATAGAAGATGCTAATAGTGGAAATCCGCCTAAGAAATCAGAAAAGTCGTTTAAATTTGATGTATCTGTACCTCCTACTCCTACGCCTGCAACACCTGTTATCTCAGTTGTGCCTCCGATGGATGGAGACAACGATGGAAGAAACATGGATAGAATCGATTATATCGATGCATAAACTATCATTAATCTTAAAAAGATGTAATGGCTCACGCTGCAGCATGTTATGAAATTCTCGATCAAGATAAAAGTAGTGCTATATAATAGGCTGTCCTTAATTTTTTTACTATTTTTTATTTTTCTACTAGAGATAAACAATGAATGTGACTGAATGGTTTTGTAGATATATATAAAGAAGAATGGATGATCTTCTTTGATCTTATTATTAATCGGAGAAATTTATGTATATAATCCTAATGAAAACTTTTATTCTTTGTACTTAAAATTTCGCCTTATTAAAATTATTTGTTTTTATTAGTAGAAATTTTTTTACATGACCCGTCGATAATTTTAGTATTATGTGAATTTTGGTGGTAGATTAATAATTTGGGTAGTTGAATACCTTTTTAAAAGCAAGAAAAAATGAAAAAAAAAATCCATAGATAGAACAATAATAGAACAATATTACATACAACGTCAATAAAACATCATTAGTACCAAAGAATATAGACGCTTTTAGTACTAATTGATTCATCTGAGTTAGGGCACAGAATAATAAACAATCAGAATGCCCACTCTCAGATGCCGCCTTTGAAGATTTTCAGCACGCGCGTAATGTTTTAGAAGGAAACACATAACACAGACATATGATTGGTGAGGTTATGTAATTGTTTATATTTATGTTTAATTATATTATATTTTATGTTATTATATTTAACAATGTTAATATAATTGTATAGTATGTCTATGATTGCCGTATTGAGCCGGGTTAATTTTTCTATGCACACCACATAAATTTTCATTAAACAACACTGATTCCTTTTAAAACATGGCGAAACGTTTGCGCGAACGAGATGCGCGTACTTAATTTTCCATGGAGAGTGGCCATTCTGGTTGTTTATTATTCTGTGGTTAGGGATAAGCCATCGAGCAATAAGACAAAAGAGGGAATGTAAAGGTAGAAGGGGTAAACATATTGATAGACAGGAAGTGCCATCTTGAGAGGCCACTTTAGACAAGGATAGACAGTCTCTTTCCTTGTTTAAGAAGTCAAATTTAGTTTGGTTATGTTATTGTTTGTCCCAACTGTCACATGAAATTTTATTTATATTGAAGTTTTTTACCAATTATGTCACTTTTTAGACTATTATCGTTAATATTTCATTAAAACTTTCTAGTCTGAAAAATATTTTATAGCTATTGTTAACAAATGTTGAAAAATTTAAATTTAGCGCCTTTGCATTTCCGGATGTGTCCGCCATCAGAGGCCACTTTTTTGGTCTCCTTTTCATAAGGATTAGATTCCCTCTTTTGTCTTATTGCTCGATGAGATAAGCGGTGTGCATCGATTATTGAAAAACATCGATGTTGAACGCTCGATGGTTGATGTTTTGCCATCGATATTTAGGTATTCGTTAACATCGATGGTAACATCGATGTTAAATGCAAACATTTTAATTAAGTATAGTATTTATAATATATATTATATTTATATAATGATAATTGAAGTTTCCCGGTAAATCCCAGTAACGAAACAGGATAAAAGGAAAGCTGCTATCAAAACTGTTATTTTTACAAGATATTGATAAATATTATTGGGGCTTATAATTTTATATATTACTTATTTGTTTTTTTTTTGTAATAATTTGGTTGTCTTTAAGATACCTATCAAGACATAATTTTTTTAATTGTTTAATATTAGGTTAAGGTTTCACCTTAAGATAACAGTTACACCACGTTTGTCATCAATTAAATAATGTTTATATAATAATTATTTAATTTATTATTTTTGGAATATGCAATATTATTTGTAAAAACATCGATGTTACTATAACTCATCGAGCAAAAAGACAAAAGAGAGAATGTAAAGGTAGTGGGGGCAAACATATTGTTAGACAGGAAGTGCGATCTTTAGAGGCCACATTAAACAAGGAAAGAGAGTCTCTCTCCTTGTTTCACATCAAATTTAGTTGGGTTATGTTATTGTTTGTCCCAAATGTGACATGAAATCTTATTTATATTGAAGTTTTTTAACAATTGTGTCGCATTTTAGACTATTATCGTTAATAATTAATTAAAACTTTCTCGTCTAAGACACATTCTGAAAAATATTATATAGCTACTGTTAATAAGTGTCGGAAAATTTAAATTTGGCGCATTCGCATTTCCGGATATGTACGCCATCAGAGACCACTTTTTTGATCTCCTTTTCATAAGGATTAGATTCCCTCTTTTGTCTTTTTGCTCGATGGTTGGAGTACACAGTTGGCTAGTTCTCTTTTATATATTTTTAAAGATTGACTTTAGGATTGATGAATGTCATATATAGTCGAATTCAGAGATAGCTTTATATTGGGTTAATTCAAGTTCGTCAAGGTGGAAAGTTTTTGTGTCAAATCAGATAGCAGCTATACATTCAATAGGGAAAACTTTTCTCTGGCACCATTTGCGATTTAATTGGAATTCAGCAGACTTGCCTAGTAAAAGTGTAGTAGTGAAAGAGCTGTTAGTTCTCACATATGTGGTGGCATGGTCCTTCATTTTTATTATCATTAAATATAAATTACGAACAATTTATAATGAATTATAATTTAGAGAATTTTTCCGAAGAAAAGAAGGTCGTCTTGTCAAATATTCGAGTAGAAAATAGCTTTTGGTTATTAGCTTCGGAAAGATATTCATCGTTTAAAAAGATTCAACCTATTTTCGCATACGTTCTACGATTTATACTTATAAAATTGTAGGCTGGCAAAGACGTTTGCTAAATCGAATAACGGGGTTTGTAACTCCCAGAGAATTAGATAGTGCAAGGATTCTTATAGTACGTGAGGTTCAACAAAAAATATTTTAGTTAAGAAATTTCTGACTTAAAAGCAAATAGAGTGTGTTCAAATAAAAACTTAGCTGCATTGACGCCCATGTACACTCTAGAGGACTGGGTTGTTACGTGTGGGTGGACGATTGGAAAATGCTGACTTTCCATATGATCAGAAATATCCTATTTTGTTGTCAGCTCATAATCGTATTGTTTCACTTATGTTGAAAGAAATGCATGTAAAATTGGGACATGCAGGTGCACAAACCACTCTATCAAACTTTTGCGTAAAGTCCTGGCCTCTTAATGGTTTAAGAGAGGTTAAAAGTTTTAAGTATCAGCCAATGGCCCAAATTATGGCAGACATGACCAAAGATATGGTAACTGTCTCTAAACCTTTTCAAAAGGTAAGCATTGACTATGGTGGATATTTTTAAATAAAAAGCTATAACCTTCGAAAAGCACCAATTACAAAAGCTTATATAGCTATTTTTGTTTGATTAGTTACTCGCTCAGTCCACTTGGCATTGGTTTCAAGTCTGACTACTCAAGATTTTGTATTAGCACTGAAACGTTTCATTGCTCGTAGTGGAAAACCTACCGTTATTTATAGTGATAATGCAATGAACTTCTTTGAAGCACGTAATCAACTTAAATAATTGCACGATTTTTTAATAAGTAATGAACAAAGCATTAGTATAAAAGATTATTGTCTAGAGAATTTAAATTTTTGCCTCCAACTGCTCCACATTAGGGAGGTTTACATGAAAGTGGAATTAAAAGTGCAAAGTTTCATATTTATCGATTACTTGGTAAAAATGTTGTTACTTTTGGAGATTTATACGGTGGTCATGCAAATTGAAGCCATTCTAAACTCATAACACCTTACCCAATTATCTAATGACCCAAACGACAAGGCATGTCTCACTCCGGAACATTTTTTGATTAGCATTAGTTCAACTGCATACCCAGAGTTCGGTGTTACTTTAGTTCACGCAAATAAATTAGATATCTACAAGAAGATTTCACAAGCACAGCAATTATTCTGGCAAAGATGGGTTATTAGCAGATTATTTAAATTTGCTACAGCATAGACCGAAGTGGAGAATATGTACTAAAAATCGTGAGGTCAATGAGTTAGCAGTTGATAAAAATGGGTAACATCCTCCATTACTTTGGCCTCTGGGATTTATTGTATAAACTTACATGGGACGAGACCAAAAGGTTAGGTTCGTCAAAGTAAAAACTCATACGTCCATGATGTTTTCAAACACAAGATCAACTTCGTGATGCTTTGTAAGAAATCATGAACTTCGTGCATCTTCGTATCAAAACAATAAACAATAACAAAGGTATTCATGTTTTGGACACTTTTTAAAGCGTTCAACGAGTCTATATATTACACGTCATTGATTATATCTAACGAGCCATCTTCTATTCTTTCGCTGTCAATGTCCTTCACCTGTCACCCATGTTAAGGTAGGTTTACAAATATTAAGGTAGGTTCACATAACATAACATGTCCCTTTTTTTTACAAAAAAAAACTAAACTATCCCAACAACCCAAATCTACCACCAACACTACACTGCCGCATTACTCTTCTGAAAATGAAAACCTTTTTGGTCTATTTACAATTCGACCACTCCTGGTACAAAATTGATTACTTACATTTAGTCTATGTGACCTATTTAAGCTAACATTTAAATTGTCATAACTTTGATTTGAAATTGATGTATCGTTGTTTATATTTGGAGCCTCATACAAATTGGAACTAGCTGCTGTACTATTTTCATGCTTAACTATCACCTCACTATTTTGTCTACTAATTGTACTGACAGGCTTTAATATGTGTTGTCTGTTCCTACGATAATGTACACCTTCAAGTGTTCTGACGACGTATGATCTTGGAAAAGGACCTATTTCTTGCATCTGTACCAATATAGTGCAATAATAAAGCTACTTTTCTCGCATCGTTTTCTTCCTCTAAACCTGTGGCTCTCAAAAATATTTTGAAATTTATGCTCCATTCTCCCCAGTTATGTGCCAAATTTCCTTGTATTGATAATGGTTGGATTTCATTTCCTATTACGTTACTTTTTATTTTTATAACGACAGGTTGATTCTGCTCTATAGAATCTTGTTCCGACATGGTTAAACTTTACCTTTTTACCGTTTTTAATTAAATTTCTTTTAAAACCAACTAGACCACCACGTGCTGTTAGACCATGTTTCGACTTTTGTATGACTATTATAATACTCGTTACTATAATCTGACCTGAATTTTTACTTCTGACACCATGTTACGTTGTCTCTGTGGGCTTTTAATAAGATTGACGACCAGTTTCTTTTTAATATCTTTTATTAACCAACTAAACCTAATATACCTAATATACCAACTAAACTTAATACATGATTATACCTAACGAGCCATCTTCTATTCTTTCGCTGTCAATGTTCTTCACCTGTCACCCATGTT